CTCCGGCGATCGCGCCGGGGCCGCGCCTTGTCCCGTCTTGTTTCACAGACTGTAAGGCGAATTTAAATGGACTGATTTCGAGGCTCCACGACGCCCGTGCCCACGCCCCGCGTCGCCCCGCCCCGCCCGCGCCCAGCGGAGCCCGAGCAGCCCGCCCAGGAAACACAATTCCGAGCGGGAGGAGCTAACAAGACCTCACGTCCAGTGAATAGAAATTGTGTGAGTGAGCGTGTCTATGCCTCTGTGTGTGTATGTGTGTGTGAGCGCGCGCGAGTGTGCGTGTGTGTGCTGGTCTTCGTTATTCCCGTCCCAAGCCAGACATGCAAATCTCAAGAACTGTCAATCTCGTGCGTGCTGTGCGTGCCGCGTGCTCTGTGTCCGCGGATGGCCGCAGCGCGCCCCAGCGCCACACAGCTCGCATCACGCCCAGCAGCAGACTTTTCCGTTGGGAACGTGACGGACCAGGCCGCAGACTAGCGCAAAAGTGAAGAAGAACAAAGTCTCTCTCTCTTTTTTGTCACTCAAACGTCGGTCGCGGCGCGGCGCTACTCGACAAGCACGGCCCGCTTTGAATAAACCCCATATTAATTTGCACATATTTTTAAAAGTAGTTGGAATATGAATAAAACTCTCGCGGAGCTGTATGATCGCGACGCCGCACACATAAGCACGTACGGGTTACTTTTTTCATCTTATTTTTTTTTTTAGGAAAAATATAAATATGACATGTTTCCGCTGTTTTCGCGCGACAGCCCCCCCCCCCCCCCTTTCCCGCTCCCGCTCGACCGAACGTGCTCGTACGCCCGCGTGTGTGTACAGCAGGCGACGTGTTGATCTCGGTTCGGGGGAGAGAAAAATGCCACAACGTGAAACTATTCGAGACTTCGGAGGAGTCTCCAATGGCGGGGCCCGGCTCCTTGGCCCGACCAGGGCGTCGCGGCGAGCAGCGAACTGCGTCGCAACGCAAAGCGTCGCGGGGCGGCGCGTCGCGGGGAGGCGGCGCACCGAGCGACTTGGCGCGGCCATCCCAAAATATCCATAATGGACTGCCTCTGCCCGTCGTGGCGGGTCCTGGCGGGTCCCCTGGCCGCGCGGACAGCGGGGCGGCCGTGCGACCCCCGAGGGGGCACCAGGGGGCACCAGGGGAGGTCGACCGCGGTCGTGGAGCGCTCAGGGGGCACCATCAGCACGGCAGTGTGTCGGGGGCGGGGAGGGGGAGGTCCTCCTGCCTGCTCATCGCTTGCCCCCCCCCCCTTCCTGCCTCAGCCACTGCATTATCGGTCACTCACTCAGTACCGCCACCCGCCGCCCCACCCTTTCGCCAGGCTAAGCCGGTGGAGGGAGGAGAGGGGTGGGTAGGGGGTAGCGAAAGTGTAACAGTGTGGGGAGATCGGAGACACGAAAAGGGGGAGAGGGGTGCTC